TAGCAGATTTAGCGATTTCTTTAGCTGTAAAGTTCATATCAATGTTTTCCTGCAACCAAACGCCCAGATATTTATACGCACTGGTATAGTCAATAGTAACATCGCCAATTTTGAATACAACTTGTGATCTATTGAAACAACAGGGTCGGTAATGAACGACATTAGTTTTCTTCTTCTTAATAGTTAAACGCCAACGTTTACACCAATTATCAACGCAATCTAACATCCGCTGTAGGGACAACTCGTCTCCTGCTATCAAAGCAATATCATCAGCGTACAGTAGTGTCCTCAACATAACTCCGTCAATGTTTACACCACAATTGAGAGCGTTGATTTCTTCTGCTAGGTCATTAATGTAAATAGAAAACAAAGTCGGTGACATTACACAACCCTGCCTAACACCGGGATTTACATTAAATAAATCAGTGAAACAGTTGTTTATACGTATACGGGCGTTAGAGTTATTGTACATAGATTGAACAGCATAAAGGAATTTCCCTTTGATTCCAAGTTTTAACAGTTTAAACCATAGACAATTTCTATCTACCTTATCAAACGCTTTCATTGCATCGATGAAGCACACAAAAGTAGGTTTCCCAGTTAGCTTTCTGTTATTGATTACTGAATATAGACTGTAAATATGTTCTTGAGTACTACGCTTGGATCGGAAGCCATTTTGTTCCTCAACCAATATATCATGTAATTCTAACCACTTTGTAAGTCTAGTATTAAGGATATCTGAGTATATTTTACATGGGACTGAAAGCAGTGAAATACCGCGATAACCTAATGGATCACGTGGGTCACCCTCGGGCTTCTTGATAGGATTTATAAAACTAGTACGCCAAATATCCGGGCACTTATTGTTTTCAAAACAAAATGTAAACAGTCTAAATAAAAGATCAATACATGTTTTACTTTTTAGAGCTTCAGCAGGTATACAGTCTGGACCGGCAGCCTTGTACAACAAAATGTAAAAAATGTATTTAACGCAATACGTAAACACCTAACGCAAAATGTAAAACCAATTTTTAACGCAATTTGTAAAAGATTTACGGAATATGTAAAATCAAGCTTTTTTGTTGTTTTTATGTCTTGGCGACTGAAACTTATTTAGTAACTTCACTTTATTGTGTTTCAAAATAACTAAGCTATTGCAATATTTCTGACAAACAAACCTCATTTCTAACTTAATTGATACCTGATTTTTTGGGTCGTTTAACATCAAAGTAAAGCCGATAATTGTGTAATACTTGATATCATAATCTATTTTCGACAGTATCCAAGGAAATCATTTTATTCTTCATAGTATTTTTACATAAATGGTCATATGGGTTGTATTTATTATGTCCTAGGAGGATTTACCTTTTGGGCTTTTTTTTATCCAACAACGTGCATGTAGCGCAAAGTTGGGGACATAAAATTATCCTCCGCATTGGGTACGGTGACCAAGGTTCAACTTGGAATTCGGTAGGTAGAAGTTTTTGTATTTTTTTTCTTTTTCTTTTCATTGTTTTGGCTGAGAGACCAGTTTTGTTTTCAAATTTGTCCTATTTAGAGGTGAATTAATAGCAAAACATGTTCCTTTATGGAATTAATGCATACGTTATTTTCCTGGCAGTATGTTTTTTAATCTCACCTCAAAATACTTAAATGAAATGCAACAAATCCTGATAAAAAGTTTGAGCCATCCCATAGACATTACGAGAGACTTTGTCTGAATTTGTTTCAGAAACACTTTGAATGAATTTTAGAGAAAATATAATATTTATGATGATGTATTTACAAATATTATATTACTCCAAAATGTGAAAATACTGTTTAAGTATTAATGTGTCGCTGGACACAAGTATCTTTGATTTAGAAATGGTAAATCCATCTTGCAGTTTTAGGTATAATGGACATGCAAGATGCATCGCAGTGATTCGGGTATTTGCATTCCAATCACATCTGATTTCCTTCAATCAAGTCACAGGTAATATCGCTGCCAATGAAATCGAGTTATACCAGAGACATTTGAGATTGGATCCCGATGTTGATCGCTCAAATTTAATGAAATAAAGTTATTGTATTTGATGCAATTTAAGTAATATGTAATATTGATGTAAACGGGTAACATGACTTGTTCAATCCATCAAACATGCCAATGCCAAGATCAATGATACCGGAATAGAATTGCAAAATCACATACCACGCCTAAGAAATTATAATCGTAATTCACCATTTAATCACATAGATTGCCATTCGCCGTGTATTCTGTGACATTCATGTGATTATTTGACGTAGTACCAAACATTAGTATAAATGGAACCAGTTATTCTATTGCTTACTAAATGGAGACATCTCTGTGTAATTAAAGTCTTCAATATCTGAAAAATTGCTGAAGGGGTGTTTAACCATATTAACTAACTCACTCACGGGACATATGGTGATCACCTGGTTCTCACGGTTGTATCAGGAATCTTATGACAGAGGTCAGAATCTTTGATGTAAAGGACCGCCTCCGTGGTGTGGTGGTTAGAGCGTCCGCCCGGAGGGCGGAAGGTCGCGGGTTCGATCCCCGACCGCGTCATACCAAAAGACGTTAAAATATGGTACTTGTTGGTCCCTGCCTGGCGCTCGGCATTAATGGGTACAACAAGGACTGGTCGGCTCGGAATCAGTATAATGTGTCTGAGTGGGGTATTCATGCTTCACTGCGGCATGGTATCTCAGTGGGCTAGCACTATAAAACCAGCTTTAGTCTGGGCTAGTACAAGCAGCCGCACATACACATACACGCGCATGCACGTCGTCATATGAGCGAAATATTCTCAAGCACGACGTTAAACCCAATTTCACCTCACCTCACCTTTGATGTAAACGGAACAGTGACACAAGTTCATCCAAAAGAGATTCTACCCGGACAGAGTGCAGTTATATATCTTGGCTACTTTCATGAAAATGAAGGGAAACACTACATGACCCTAAATCCACCTGATCAAATTAAGAGTGTAACAGGTAGAATGGGCAAAGAGAGAGAGAGTGATTTAATAAATGTACACATTGGTTTACTTGAAGTTGTTTCCCACCCGCAAATGAAGCTATGACATCTAGGTACTATTCTAGTATTCCCTTTAACCGCCCATCGTTGTTTCATGTACATTGTCAAATCATAACTTTTGGCGCTCTCTCCTAGATCAGCTGCTAGGTCCGAAGTCCAATGGTCAGAGCTACCATCTCGATGCCCAGTACCAGTTGCAATTAATTCCAACCCCCATACACAATGAATGAAAATTGGAAACATTACTACAACATTTTTTTTATTTCAAACCAAATTAAGAAGGATCAATAAGTGGTTTTCTTTAAAACCCAAATTCGGTAATCACAGATTATCAACAACGGAATGGACAGTTTCAAGGAAAGGTCCATCCTTCTAGAATAAGACATAGTGAATATAATCAAAAATACAATTTATGAAAACAAGTTTGAAGAATATAATTTAATATAATATAAGAATATAATATAATTTCAAACTTTCGAAAATAGACTATAAGATCGATTAAAATATCTCTATATACAAGGAAATTATATGTTTATCGACTCTGCTTACATGTATACTGAACGAGGTAAAATTTTGCATAAAAATGTAATATGAAGTTTATTTTGTAAGAAACATTGCGATCTCTTAGTTTTTGTAAATAAAGTCAATTTTTGCCAAATTTGTGACTAAAATGGATTTCGACTGCCACCCCTAATATTCAAACCTAAAAGTGGATTTTACATATTGCGTTAATTTTTTACATATTAAGTTAAAAATTGTTTTTACATTTTGCGTTAGGTGTTTTACTTTTTGCGTTAAAGACATCTTTTACATATTGCGTTAATATTTTACATATAGCGTTATTTTTTACGTTTTGCGCTAAGTTTTTACATATTGCGTTAGTTTTTACATATTGTCTTGATTTTACATATTGGGGTTGTACAAGCTTAAGCCTTACCACGTTTAGCACGGGCAACCGCGTACTCAACCTCCGCCAATGTTATAGGTTTATCTGGGTCACTGGTATCAAACGTCCGATCACTCGCCCCGGGACCGTTGTCCATTTCATCCCGAACTCGCTGTAAGTGAGCCTCGTCAAAACCGGATTATCAGGAAAACAGGATTATCAGAAACGCTTGAAGTTTACAACACCCGGAAACGGCATCTCCGAGTAACCTTTGGCAAAGCTCTCACAGTGAAAACAATGTTCTCCCGAGCCTGAGCTGGGCAACACAGTGTCATTGCCAAATTATATAACCATAACATCTCATACGGCAAGTCATTTTAGCTGATACCCTCTGATATTTATTAAATTACTGATATGTTCAAATCATGTCATGAATAGCTTCAGCCGGCTATCTATATCTGTACTAGTATGAATTGATGTTTATACTGTGGAAACTGTACGGAGAACATCCTGTATTCTGAACCACTAAAAAACCCACCTCTTTCAAGCATTTCATGTCATATAATTGGGTGTAATATCTTCTGATATTTATTAAGTTAATTATATGTGTAAAGCCTGCCATCTGTATCGGTACTAGTATTCATTAATGTTTATACTCTGAAACATGTACGGAGAACATCCCATACGCATCATATAACACGAGTGGAAGCATACATAATTTTATATATATCTATTATATATTATATATACATCTGTGATAAACGTAATGAAGAAACGGTGGAGTAATCAATAACACTGAAGGCCCCTGAACCGTAATTAAGGGCAACAATGGAGTATGTTAATTGAATCACAACACCTAGCTGATTACAATTAGACAAGAGGCAATTAATTGCAAGCTGGATAGAAGGAAACTTAGAGAAGATTTAAAGTATATTTCAATTTTGTCTAAATAAAGTAGAGAGTATTATTAATTAATGTATCTACTAATCGGAAATAACTTCTCTCTCTTTCAATTTAGTAACTCACTGCAACCCTATAAGTATGGTAGTTTGCAAAGTATGGGCAGTTGCAATGGCTAACCTACAGAAAGCAGAGTTCACGTTGTCGCAGAGAGGAGGAAAACAGGTTCTACACGGAGGTCACAAGTATCGACTGCACGTTGACAGACAGGTAGCCACTCACTGGAAGTGTATCATCGACAAGTGCAAGGGTAGATGCAGCACCATTGGGGATCACATCACTTCAGTATCAGAACACAACCATCCTCCACTAGTGAATGAAGAAGAGAGTCGACTTCTCACCAGACTTAGACAACGCGTTCAAGAAGAGATCAAGCCTGTCCAGCAAATCTACAATGAAGAGACCCAGAACCTAGACGAAGAAGCTGCTGCTACTGTTGCTTCCTACAGTATCAAGTCTGGACTCTACCGTCAGCGTGCCAAGGTTCTTCCACCAGTCCCACGTACCCGTGCTGATGTAGACCTCACAGGTACCTTTTACAGTATTAACTTATCTACTGATATTTGCATAATGCTCAATTGATTTCTTGACAGTGTACTTCATTCATTCATTCATTCATCAAAACAACGTCTAACACACTTGCTTGTTTTAAGGTTCCTGGACTGAGACAACAGACGGACAACAGTTCCTGGTTGTAGACAGCGAAGATGAAGACAGGATCCTGATCTTCAGTACCGCAGAGATGCTGGACATCCTCGCCAATGCAGAAACCATCTACATGGACGGAACATTTTTATAGGTGTAATTAACAGGTGTATTAATTTCATTAGCCCGCACAGAGCCAGATTGAACATTGGGCTTCACTTAAAGCAACGTGTTAGATTCAAATACATGTACAAAGCTTTGAGCCTCAATAAAGAGGTATTTAGGTAGATATAATACTAATCTATGGATTTAAACACATATATAAGATACATCTGTGAGGTTTAAGGTGCGTTTGAGAGCGCGGGCCAAGCCGGACCGAAAGCTTTTGATACTGTGTCTTTGTTGAGAATGTATAGAAAATAGGACTTCACTTTAAGCAACGTGTTTGCTTCAAATACAACGATTTGAGACTCTATAAAGACGTTCTTAGGTAGATATAATACTAATCTATGATATAAACGCATTTCAAGATACATGTGTGAGGTTTAGATTGTTTTTGACATCACGGGCCAAGTCGGGCTGAACAGAGACTAAACACTTTTGATTGAGACTACCGGTATATTGTGAATGGAGAGAGAAAAGGGTTTCACTTTAACGGAGCAGTTATCTTTACATGTGGCATTTTGTAACATCACACATTGATATTTAGGTAGATATAATACTAATCTATAGATTTAAACACAAATCAGAATACATGTGTGGGGTTTAAGTTGTTTTTGAGAGCCCGGGCCAAGGCGTACCGAACGCTTGTGATACTGTTTGTTGAGAATATGTAGAAAATAGAGCTTCACTTTCAGCAACGGTTTTGCTTCAAATACTACGCTTTGAGACTCTGTGGAGTGATATTTAGGTAGATATATTACTAATCTATTGATATAAACACATTTCAAGATACACGTGTGAGGTTTAAGTTGTTTTTGACATCACGGGCCAAGTCGGGCCGAACAGAGACTAAACACTTTTGATTGCGGATTTTGTTTTCCGATGACATTATGTTCCTAAATCGTTGGGAATGGAGAGAGAAAGGGGCTTCACTTTTACTTTACTTCATGAAGTGGAATTTAGGTAGATATAATACTATTTTGTGTTTCATGTGTATTAGTAAATATAAGCATATGCATACGCGCTAGCTATCGGATTTGGGCTGGTATTGTTTACAATGAAAACACATAAGAATTTTTGTGTTTGTGAATGCATACTTTGTTTGATACTTTATAACATGTTACAAAAGTTTGTGATTTCAAATATTTCTTTTAATAAACATAATCATGTCATATTTGCCGGTTGACATTCGCCCATATCCACGTCTCTTTAACATAAACATCCTGTGCTGATTCAGCCTGAGACAATAAAGGTTAATTAGGGAACCCCAATATCTTAATTAAGGAAAGAAAAGCAGTCAAAACACTGTCACTTCCTGCCCAGGACCCCAGGATGTCACACGCTAAGAGAAGTAAGCAGCCTTCCCTCATAGACATATCAAGGAAAACACATAACAACAAGACGGTGTCTTTTCTACGGGAATCTCGGTTTGTAGACTTTGTTGTTGTTTTGGTCTTTTCCCCATTAACTATACATTTTCAATCAAACTATGCATTTGTGAAGGCGGGAAGTGTATCGACCCAAATGTGCAGGTTTCGTTTTAATATTCTGCAATCCATTTTTAGTATTACCCGGTGGCCCGGCCCGGCCCGACTTTTCTTGGCCCGACTTTTAGGCCATCCCCGGTGAGGGAGACACCATCGCCCGACCCCTAGGAGCAATTGACGACAAAGCAACGATTCGGCATGTCGTCGTTGATGTCGAGAAATCATCAAAATGATGAGCGTGCTACACACTTTCTATACAACCAGGGAGACTCTATGTTGTAGAGTATCCCTGATACAACTAACTGAAAATCGTTCCTCATATGACGTCACTGCAGTGCTCTGGCGACAGAGTTACGTAACCTGTCTGTGGTTTCGTTGGCGGGCGAGAGGGAAGCAGGCGACTTTTTGTCCTCTTTTAATCGCTCGGTATTAATTAACCACAAGTTTTTAAAGAATAAATTTGGTGTTCCGCATAAGACTAACCACAAATCTTTCATATGTAATGGTTAAAAAGTAACAAAAAACAAAGTTTACTGGTTCTTTAATAAAAAACAATGCTCAATATTTTGGGCTTTGGTCTATCGGGGGACATTGAACATACACTTTTACACAAGTGCAGCTATGCAAAAATATCCAGACAGTCTTCAGATGACCAGGTGCGGTATTCTTAAAAGGTGAGGTGAGGTGAGGTGAAATTGGTTTTAACGTCGTGCTTGAGAATATTTCGCTCATATGACGACGTGCATGCGTGTGTATGTGTATGTGCGGCTTCTTGTACTAGCCCAGACTTAAGCTGGTTTCATAGTGCTAGCCCACTGAGATACCATGCCGCAGTGAAGCATGAATACCCCACTCAGACACATTATACTGACTCCGAGCCGACCAGTCCTTGTTGTATCCATTACTGCCGAGCGCCAGGCAGGAACCAACAAGTACCATATTTTAACGTCTTTTGGTATGACGCGGTTGGGGATCGAACCCGCGACCTTCCTCTCTCCGGGCGGACGCTCTAACCACTACACCACGGAGGCGGTATTCTTAAAAGGACTAAAGTCTAAAAAATGACTTAAGTTCCCAATAAAAACTTAAGTTTTGACTTAAGACTTATGTTTTTTCTTAGTCATATTCACAAAACGTATTAGACTTAAGTTTGCGCTATTTTCGACTTAAATCCTAAGCCTGCTGTTGGCTAGGCTTAACTCTATGTATGTAAGTTAAGTCAGTTGACAATAATTGCCGCCAGACATACCAATAGAAGAATTTACCGTCCAAGAAGTAACCGTTTTGAGGACTTAAGTGATGAAGAATTCTTTAAGACACTGTTATAAATTGAAATACTGGAATTTATTTTAGACACTTTTATCAAAAATAAATTTTGGGATTTTTTTGGGTCTAATTATTGTTTTACATGCTTTTGAATATCAGAATAATTTTGAATCTATCAAACAAAGTGAAAAAGGAGCTATGAATTCTTTTAATTTTATAATTAGAGATGTGGCATTATGTACGATACAACTATAATCAGGATTTGATCCACATACCTCTTGATCCGTAGCTGTTCACGCTAACCACCCAATCCCATCCCAAATCAATATTGAAATTAAAATAATGAATATTGATATTTGCTACAATGTTAACTGTTACTTCATTACATTATACATTTGTGTATACTTTTTGATATCCTTATTCCTAATTGATTCATTTAATTTTGGCTTTTCTTAATCAGGATATATTACTTTTACATTTCTGTATTGACACATTTAATTTCCTATGTCACAAAACCTTGTTGAGCTGGTTGCATATTCAAGATTTGCAGCATTGTGGAGTCCATGGTCTGATTAATCCCTGTTAGGATTTCATTTTCTCTCCCAATGACGTCAATGACATTGTCAGTAACAGGACTGAGTGGTGTTGGTGGAGGACCGACGCCTGAAAAACAAATTCTATTGATCAATTTCATAATACATAGACAGTGATTTTTAAAGTCAAATAGGTTCCGTACAATCTCTATGTTACAGACATTTATATTATAGACATTTTAATTGGATGATATTGTGATGAAAACTAATTAATGAGTGTTCGATACGTACCAGTAGTTGTTGTCGCCCTGTGGAAGGTTGAGTAACTCTTCTTTCCGCTGCTTTTCATATTCTTCCACTTCTTTTCGATTTCTTTTTTTGGTCCTTTTCACTGAACCCCCAGCATTTAGGCTGTCAGTTATACTCTGAAAAAGATTCATTCTATTAAACTCATATTCTTTTTAGAACCCCATGTTATAATATTTATTACATTTTATAACAAAGAATCATCAACACCATAAATTAATTTCTTGCCAAGGTTTTGAAAATCATTGAGCAAAAACAGATACAAATTGAAGGTAACAAATGATATTGTTTTAAGCAGTTCAGTTTAAGCATTGTGAAATATATAATATTCAATAAATAGGTTACTGTTCTTTAAGAAATCTTATAGCAGCAGGTAATACATTATTTGGTTGATGTGTAAATGACCATAGTTTGTACAAATGACCTAGCATGGCCACATGTTCAGTGATTTGTGAACATATTTGTCTTTCAGTTGTCACATAAAGAAGAATCGGATACATTTATTGGAACAACAACATTTTACATGGAATGATGTTGTTGAGATATACTGAAACAGGAATTAAATTAGTACTGCCAGGATGGCAGGGTTTGTCTATATCACAGTAAGGTAATTCTTAATTTCACTTGTATTAAATCTGTGCAATGATGTTTATTATGTCTACAATTTCATGTTGTTGTTTTTAACCAAGGGGGAAATCAGAAGAGACATAGCATACATTTAGATCTATATTTCAATTTTTAAAACACAAAAAATCCTCAACTGCATTAAATGGTGGGAAATACTTCAGCCCGTATCCCCCCTTACATTTCATTCTAGTCAAATCATATCACCTGAATATATATATTCCTCATCTGATAAGGATGAGTTTTAACATGTTTCGTCAACTGTATCTGAACATACTGAAAGACATATCCAACTTCTGAAAATGCCTCCCAAAGAAATTCTTCCTCATCCTTAAAATGTAGGGGGATACGGGCGGAAGTCTTACCCCAACGGTTCTTATTAGGTACTTATTAATAAATAGTTGTTCTCGGACCAAGCCTAATTCGACGTTCTTATTATTCACATGCATAAGTCTTCCTTTGCTTTACAAGTTCTGTTAACTGCAGACATTCGTCCTTACTCCAATTTGGTTTCCTTTTCTTTGCATTATTGGTCCCAGTTTCTGCCATTTTGATCGTTGTGTTGTCGTCTGCGACACGATGACAGAAGGGAATCACCGCTTGACGTCACTTTTTATTTTCTTGCATTAAAGAGTTCCACCGGAAGTTTTCCGTTGCTGGTATTTTCCCATTAGCAACGATGCGCACGGACATCGGCTATGAACTTAAGTTTCTGATCGACTTAACCTCCGACTAAGCTAAGTTTTTGACTAAGTCACTTTGTGAATACGAACTTA